TTAATTTTTTGAAAAGGGGAAAAAAAAAGAATCTTCCTACAATTATGATGAAAGGTCTTAATATTTTCTCCAACAATCCAGAATTGCCATGCTTGACAGTTGTTAATTTAATTATATTTACAATTTCTGTTTATTAACTCAGAAGAACTTTTCGCAAACACACCATGAGTTTCTGCCAGCAGAGGCTAATTTACCTGAGAAATGTTATCTTTTATTTGTTTGTCTTCCCGCCACATGCCCCAGGCAAGTACGTAAGCTATATTCAGTGGACCAGGTTGTTGAAAATAAATTGAAGAAATTTATTACAGAGGTTGAAATTTTAACTAAAAGCCACTCAAAAAACTTAATCTCCTCTCACTGTTACCAAAATATTAAGTGACAATCTTGAATATGCCAGAAAGATAATTTTAAGGCTTTAATCATTTCATAAAACAGTAGACATCTGCTTGTGCGCACATTTGTAAGTACTCATACACACACTCTGCTACAGCTTCTGTCTCCTGCGTACAGATTTTTTTTTTTTAATTTGAGTGTTTTTTGGTTTGTTTGGATTTTTTTCTTTTCACGTAACAGATATTGGGGCAAGACAATGAAAGTGCCCTTGGAGGAAATAAACAAGGATACATTAAAATTGTAGTAATCTGTAAGCAGACTTTAAAAGTTATTTTATAATAAAGCAACATTAAAAATAAATAGGTTGGGAATAAATGGCCAAATGAAACCATTTTTATTTGAATCTCTTTACAATATGGGCAGACGTGGATAGATCTAGAAACGGGAGTTAGAGAGATAAGCTAGGAACACTACTTAAAATTGGTATTCTGTATTTATTTGAATGACAACAAACTGTAGACTTAGACCAAAGTAGATACAATCAGTCTAGCTAGAGTCTACATAGGAGGTTACAGGTCATAAAACTGCACCTGTAACAATGCAGCTGCTTTGCAACTGTAGAAAACAACCACCGAACTGTACTTCAAAAAATCAAAAATAAAAAGGCTGAAATTATATGGAGTTTCAATTTGGATGAAAACCAAAATTAGGCTCTTCCACTGCTTTGACAAAGGAATCGCGTTCTAAACTCAACATTACGGAGATATTCTAACATGCTGTCATTCTCCATGGTATATTTAGGTTACTAATTTGGCCACAGAATTCCATAAGCCAAAGGCTTTGCAAAGAAACTTGCAGTGTGAAGGTTGTAGCAAGTTCTATGAGACCATTAAACACTCAGTAGAGCAGCGGACCCTAGTCTGTAAAAGAAAAAGAGGCACAGCTGACTAGGTCATAGTATGAGATTGACATTCTCAATTAGCAAATTTAAAAGAGGTAAGGAAATGGACTAGATTTTTGCCTCCAAAAGGACAGGTAAAGAGTTTCTCAACAGGTGGAAGAGGCTGGTCACCTACCAGAGGAAGACACTGCTCCCCAGCATAGAGGCATTCTGTGAAATTGCTCTATCATCTCTTACTAAAATAAAAGACTGAGTTTGAAATTTCACATCAAAGTGGCTGTGTCATAGACGGCAGGAGGCCCGATCTATTCACTGATAGGAAAGAGTAAGAGCTCCTTTTAATAAATAAGCCAAATTAGACATACATGGAAGCAAGCCTCCCTAACTTGGGAAGAATTTTTCTTTCTGTAAGATGAAGAATAAGCACATTGTTCTTTCCAAGAATTCTGGAAGGAAAGAGTCTTTTTTTTATAGAATTCAGTTCCTTAATAACCAGTTTCAAAATCTAAATACAAAGATAAAACTTTAAAGTTTAGGTGTTTTCCTAAGATAACTAGGAAAAAATAAGAGGAAATGATGTTTCAGATTTGTGAAGGGCAATTCCATGGAAAAGAAATACATTAGTAAGTCAGAAAAAACCATGATGTATTAAAAACTTTTATTGCAACAGCCAGATAGAAGAAATTGCACATAGAAGGTCTTCATCTTCAATTATACAAGAGATAAGGTTCCCTATTGTATTCTAAGATCACTGTTATTTTTCTCTAATCAATGCAGTATTCCTCTAAAACATACTTAACTGGAAATAGATCAACTGAAAGTGAAGTCACAGGTATTCATTTATTATGAATTTTTTTTCTATTATGGCCTATATATTAGCATACATCAGCAGAATAAATATAGTACGCAGTTCCACAGCAACATGTTCATCTAGTCTGTGAAATAGTAGTTTACTTGCATTTTAATTTTGCGTTTTAGTGACCCCTAGTGGTTACATTCAAAACAAATTGCTGTTCACCCATTACTTGAATAGAGAACTTTAAAAAATAGAGAATAAAAAATGGGAAAAACATTAAAAAAACCAACAAATTAAAGGCTTTTGGCATACAGTATGTGAAAGTTCACCTTAGTCTGTAAAATGAGGCTAACATTTCTTTTCCTTCCTAAAGTTTTTCTGCTTCTTCAGGACTTGATGTTACTACTCCTTAACAAATCATTTAATAATGATTAATAAATGTATAACTGGGTAGAAGACAGTAGAGGGTAGAAATGAAGAGCCAGATTTTAACTTGTAAGGGCCAGCAGTGGTGTCCTGCACGAAATCTCTATTAGGTCCTGTGGTACTTCAAAAGAACTAAAGAAATCACAACTGGATGAGTGCATAATGAGGTAACAAACTGCAAAGGGGCTGTGATTGAATGACAAAAATCGGAAAGAAAACTTGGTGCACATAGCATGGTACACATTGGGGGCAAAAATAATTCCAGCATTGCATCTTCATAAGCTCTGAACTGATTTTTCACACTTGGGAACAAAATTTCGGGGCTATAGGAGATAGTTCTACAGAGTGATCAGGTATAACAGGGGTCAAAAGAGCAAGCAGTATTAGAAGTTACTAGGAATGGAAGAGGAAACAAAATAGAGAAACAACTGCCAACAGATACAGCACTCATATCTTTCGTCTATAAGACCTGGATCACAGAGAGTCATTTTAGATTACGTTGTTCTGACTAGCTACAGCTTGGTTTTGACATTTCCTAAATCACAGCAGCCACCAAGAAACTTCAGCCGGAGCATGAGTTGTCTCATATAAGAGGATAAATTACAGCATTATAATTTAATACAGTATATAATGTCAGTTTAAAGGTTTTGTTTGTGGTTTTTTTTAAAGCGTCACACAACATACAATAGCTTACAGTCTGCAAGAATGTTCAACAAACTCACAGGTTCATCTAGTTCCTCTGGGGAGAGCAGAGGTGAACACAACTCCATAGATCAGAAATTCCTAAACTAGTCCTTCCTTCTTTTCCTATAAATAAACTATCAGGTTTTGTGTACTGCTTACAGTTACCCAATTTTAGATTACACATGCAAAAATAAATTGGAATATATGAAAATATTAGGATTCATTTTTTTCCTCATTCTAATTTTGCGTAAAGGTTATAATTTTTTGTTTTTTAATTCAGAGATACTACTTTGCGAGAAAAAACTTAGAATGAATGTCATTACAGCAAGCACAGTAGATGCCTTTTGAACAGTATTATAACTCACATTTGTTAACTTAAAAATAAATCCTTCTTTTCCCAATGAATGCATCTAAAAATTAGTTTTAATTCATATAAGAATGGGGCCAGAAAGTGATAATGAAAATTAATTTTCCTTTCTAGTCCTTCAGTTTAAATGTCACTGGTCTCAGACTTAACTTGTTTTTTGAAGTATCTGCATATTTCTAAAAATGCTAAATTCCATTTGTGAACAATTTTTCTGTTCATATGAAAGAAACAAAGAACTGGAAACATTTTGAACAAAATAATATTACAGCTTAATGTAAAACTACTTCAATCTATTGTTTTTACATACACAAAGCAGACTAGGATATGTGTTTTCTATGATGGAAACTGGGAAGGTAGGGAAACTATCGCTGAATATATTAGTGCTGAACACCTAAACAAGCACCTAAAGCCAGAAGTTATATAGACATCTCAAAATTATTTTTTAGTATTTTCACAGGAACTTAAAAAAATTTAAATATCAGAAAAGTCTGCCACATACAAGAGCGCACTTAAATTGTGACCTGGTATTCAACTGAGGTGCAGCTGTCAATATTGAAAGACTTTGACCAAACTTGCAGTGGCCGTAACCATAAGGGGTCTTTCCCCACTTTGTATCTTTATAAAACAAACAAAAAACCCTAGGTAATAACAGTAGTGTTTTGAGTTCAGCTTTCACTACAGAATTGAAATGCTAAGCAACATTGCAATATAGTCATAATAATTCTTAATATTCATTAAGAAGAAACCAGAGGGACCTAGAACAACAAAAATACTCTTAGCTGCATTGCCAAAAAAGCCAGCTATTAACCAATAACAGTATGTTCCTACATGCCAGATCTGCACAGTATGGAAGCATATTTGCTACATGTGTTTAGCAGCTGTTTCTCACAAACACCCATTACAGTCAAATCTTGACTTCATTAAATAGAAATAAAGCCACATTCACACTTTAAACAGGTATCAAATAGCAGATTCTGTCAAGTTTATGCAATTTGTGTGCATCTATCATGCAGAAAAGGACAGTAAGATCACTTTGTGTAATCAGTCTTTTATTTAAGTCAACTATTGAGCATGCAAAATGAAAAAAGGATTAAAAATATTTTTCTTCTCCAAAGAAAATTACTTGCCTTTCATTACATATATTCAAGAACTGTGAGCAATCTCAAATTAGTCCCATCTCAATTACTTTCTCGAAAAAAAGTATTTCTATGAATCAATTGTACTATTTTTTATACTAATTATATTAATTACATTTCAGGATAACCAAATATGTCAACACTTCCTTCTTGATACACACACGCGCACAAGAATTATGACAGTGACTACTTAATTTTCTGAAAAGGAGAGAAAAAGGCTAGAGTTTTACCATTGGCAAGTAGTTCTGCCACAGATTAGTAACCGTCAGAACCACAACTACATAGAATAAACTCAGAAGTTTATAGTAAAAGCACTAACAGAACTCCCCCTCTCAAAAAAAAAATTTGGAAAGTTACCTCAGAAACAGGTACATTTTCTCCAAGTTCAGAAGTATGTAATGCCAGTAAACCAATCACTCGAGCAACTTTGGCACGTCTGCATATCAAATACATTTTTTGTAAGTGCAGAAAAACTATTTCAAAAACATCACAAAACCAGTTATGTGGTATTTATATTTTATACAGATTGCTAAGGGCAGAAAATGCTTGAAGTGCTATTTACTGCTCAGATTTTCTTCTTATTTCTATTTTCTTTGTATCATCAAATCATTTCAGTTTTTCAGCTCAATTTAGCAATAAATCCATGCATAAAGACATTTCTTTCCTTTAGCACTGAAAAATTAAGATTCTTTAGTTTGTTATAGACTTTGTAATCAGTAATGCTCATGATCAGTTTTCTTATAACACAGAAAGCCCCTGCAGATCATTTCAAACTTTTCAGTATAGCTGAAAAAACAGAAATTAAATCTGTATCAGCAAATCAGTTTTAAATGTTTCATTAAAGAAAAAATGAGAAGAAAAACATCAACATTTATGAAATAAACAGCAGGGGGCACTCTCTCATTGAAACATTTCTGACATGCATTTTTTAAAAAAGCTACTATTATAGTTATTTTACTACTATTATGGTATGGGTAGGTTTATTCAGTGTTTTTAAGTAACACTATTTGATACACCAAATTATGTAACTTCTAAAATTATAGAAAATCTCTAAAATTTTATCTAGGTCCTGTAGAATAGCAATCTATTAATTCAGTGCTGAAAAAGTCAATGTTGTACATACTATCATACTGCCTGTCAGGTACTACAGCAGTCTGACAGGCTAAAACACTCCTCAAATACCCTGTTAAAGAATATATTTAATAAAACTCAATGATAATTCCGTATCTGACCAAATTGAAGTTAATGTTACTTACATATCCCAGTTGGCGGCTACACGCAGCTGCTGTATCAACACAGGAAACTGCAGTTTAAAGAAAACAGAGAAACATTAGTGAATTTCAGTGATGTGGTATGTCCCAATAATAAACAAACAAACAAAAATATCAGTGATTTTATAAAAATGTATTTGGATAACATTTGTGAAAAGTATTATCATAGACACTGCAGGTATTGTCTAAATATTGATTTAAAAAAAAAATAAAAGGTTGATAGTAGAAATAGAACTTTTTCTATATCCTTGCCTGTAAACTGAACTGCTAAGCGTATATGAGTGCATTAAAAAAAGACACATTTTTTGGTTATGAATGCACAGGAACAAAACCCTGATACTTTCATGTACAAACACAGAGATCATCATATAGTATTAACCAATAAGTATTTAATAAATTAGATTAATTTGTGGGAATGGATGAAAATAATTGGCAAATACTAGAATAATGAATGGACTGATAACACACATAATCAGCCACCTAAGAACCAAACTGCATAATTACTAACTAATTTTTAAAATGTTCTGTTAAATGGAAATTTAGTTATTGGATTAATGCCCCAAAAAATTCTCCAATGATAATGGAGTACACCTTCCAGCAATTCTGTTTCCTGCTTTCACAAGAATTCTATGGCGTAACACATACCCGCTGCTTCCAACCTTTATGTTCTCAATTTAATTTTTCTGGCAGTGCAATTTTGCCCTTAATATCTCTATACCCAATGATGACATGTGTCAGAATATGACTTAGGTGCATTAGTATAAGTGTAGAACAAGGTAGTTTCTTTTTTATTAAAGAAACTGAAAAGCGCACATCTGAGGATAGCCTCTGTCATGTTTTTACATAGCAGAAAAGTAAGTCTACTTCTCTTCTGCACATACAATACTCTGAGAAATACGTTAAACCACTACAGAGGATACTAGTAAAATTGTTTATCTGGTAGAAAATGGTTCTTGAAAGATGAAACCGCCATTTAGGTATACACTAAAAGAGACTCTTTAGAGAGCATGCTCACTCTTCAAAGCAGCGCTTAATGGAAGTTTTACTGTATGTTCTTTAGAAATTTTTTTCTTGCTATACTTTACAGACATATGGCCGAATAAAATTGATTTAACAATTCAAACATGAACTTTTTTCAGTATTCTCTGTCAGTTAATGATTTACAAAGACTAACATTTCATCGTATGTTATTTCACACCCTCCATCAAGGTTAGTTTTTACTCCAATGTTTTTACTAACACAACAAAACTGTATGTAAATGTATCTGAAATCTATGAGAAAGAATTAGTTTCCCTCAGCTCTTAAAAAAAACCTGACATGGAATTTAGTAATTCTTTTTTTCTTTATTTTGTACTTAATTTGCCACATTATTTTTGTCAGTACACCAATGATTTCTTGAAACAACTAAAAGCAGCTGATTTTTGCTACAATGGCAAGTACATAAACCATGTTGATTCTGTCAAAGCTTTATTACTTACCAGCTGAGAGCTAATTAACCTGCTTGCAATTTCCTTGTGGACAGCCACAGTACACAGGTAGTAGAGCAAGTTCAGTTTAGAACGTGCTGCTCCTGTATTCTTCTCAGTGGAATCAAGCAGTGAACATACTCGCTGCAAGAAGTCGTTCCAGTCCATGTCTTTCATAGATGATAACTTCTCAGCTAACCAAAGGAACAAAAAAGTAGTTAAATGGATCTTTGATGTTGCTTTAGCACACTAGAAAGTAACAGCAACATGAATAAGTAAGTTCCAAAGTTTGACTCTAGTAATTTTAGTACCTAAAATATTAAACAATCAAGTTATAATTCATGTCTGAAGATTATAGAAACCAAAAAAGAAGCAGCGAAACAAAGCATGAAAATGTAGCAATAAAAGCCTCAAAACATTTTTGAAAGTGCAACCCTGTTAAGTCCTTGGACTTCATTTAAGTAAATATTCATTAGCATTATACTTAGGAAAAGTAGTAAATGTTGTCCTTAATCATTACTAATTCTTAATAAGAACGTGCAGTTTCATTAAAATAAATGAGGCAAAAATTAATGAAAGTAAGCGAAATCTCCTCAGAATCAATAAACTGAAAGTATATGTAGTTACTCATATAGGTAGGTATCTACCTAGTTAAGCCTTAGTAATATCAGAACATAGATTACTTCAGGAGGAACACAAAGAAGTCACTACGACGATTAACATAAATCCTGTAGTTCAATTCACCAACCACTGTACATGAATAGAGATTTTTCAAAGACTTCCTTATCAGTCTCAATGGATAACTTCACTCTGAATGAATGCAGACATACATTCCCTCAGTTTTGGTTAGTTATTTATTAATAACTTATCTGTCATCCTGACATGCTCCAGTTAATAGTTAAGCATATCAGACATCAGTGGGATAATTTAGCTACTTAAATGCAATATGAAATAAAACACCACACCCTTAGGCACTTGAATCTGATAATTTTTGCCTAGAAAATATTTTTAAATTGGCTAACATTCTGTTACTACAATCTTGATTGGGAGACTGGGGGACGTTTTGTTCCTTTCCAGCTATAAAATTTCACCAACAAACTAACTCGCCAAAATACATGCTTTATAGAAAGAAAAAAAGGAACTGTCATGTCTAGGAAGATGTGCTATGTGAATTCTAGAAGGACTACAGATCTGTCTGACACTCCTCTTCAAGCACAATAAAGTGTAATACTTCCTTAAATAGACTGGAAGAAATTCTCCAGGGGAAGAAACATTACACTCATGACAATGAGCAGCCTTTCTAGATGTTAAAAATTAACAACAACAAAAAAAACAAACCCCAAACAACTCCACACTATCTTTTGGGACATTATTCCCATAACATTTCATGATTAAAGGTGGAACTGGCAAAGCTGCTTAGTATTACGGCTGATCAACATTGCACATTTTAAGATCTTGTTTTCATTTGCTTCTCTACCTTTGTCAAATTTTAATCTATTTGATTGAATTTTTCAGTTAAAATACCTTGGTTGTTTACAAAAAATAACACAGGGTAAAAATATGCTGGTTTTCCCCCCACTAAAACAGTGTTGACTGTCCCACTTTAAAAGCTTTTAAGCACGGTCTTGTAACTGAAGGTGGCAGAAGAGAAAGGAAGGGCATATAACTGTTAGCACTTGAAAAGCCTACTCAAAACTGGTCTAGCTAAAAACATTACATATGCAACTTCAGTTTCAGACAAGTTATGAGTTCTCCAACTGTGACACCTCATCATATACAAAGGGAGGCTATTGGTCTTGCGATAGCGAGTTACACCATCATATGTAGAACTTAAGTTCTAACAACTTCAACAGATCCATACCTGAGTATGTCGGTATATGTAAAGTTTTCAAGTCAAATCTAACTGGTACTTGCTTCATTATCTGGAAAAATAAACAAAAACATTACAACTAGTTTTAACACATTTCTGGAAAACTCTAAGTAGTTGAATATGAGAACACAAAGATGCAAAAATTGTACAGAATGGGTGTACAAACCACTGCTCATTACTGATGTATTTTCCATTGTTTTCTGGTGTGTATTTCTTCCAAGCAGATATTTGAGATTTAATTCTATGTTTTTAATATAATTAAATTGTTATTATTTCCATTTAAGTGATTTTTTTAAAACAAGAACACAAAATGATAGGATTTTTTCAGTTTACATTTTTATCTTGCTTGTATGCAGAAAAATACTTGCATTTGGGTTTCAAAAGCTACAGAAAGGAACTATGCAGCTAAGAGCTCATTAAATGCTTCAGCAATTCATTGCCATACAGTACATACATATATATATATGCTAGATCATTCTAGAATATAAGAAGTCATCACCAACTAATCATTAGTAAAGTGTGGTGGTTTTTTCTCCACAACACATGATTTTCTGGTACATCATGAGATTGGATGACTGCTCAGTGACTGAGCATTTGAGTGTGATTTTCAGTAACTAAAGCATAAGATATAACTATGTTCTGGAATTTAGCCTTTGACAGATGAATCCTAGGTGTAACTAGAGAGCCAATTTCTAAAAAAGGTTTTCAATTCCACAGATCTGCAGAACACAGGGAAATTTTACAATATAAGCTGATATTTCAGCTTTTAAAATTCTGCCAGCATCTAGTAAATCCCTTTCCAGGAGATTAAATTGCAAGCTCTTCAGCTCTACCAGGTGTCTGTATCATCCTTTAGTCTGAAGATCGCTAAGTATACAGTGACTGATTACATATCCCTGGAATTTAGTGGGCTATTTTGCATTAATTCTGAGTCTGGCATTGCGTGGTAAGGAGATTAGCCTCCATGCGCACATTAGTATGTACACTTACTCCTAACCCCATCTCTTGTAGTAAGAAGAGAAGCAGTGAAGGGCTAAGGCTTTGTGTCAGAGTCCTCAGACAGAGATGAGAATTTACAGAAGTGACATTCAAATGCATCATCACCTTTGAAATTCTCCACTGGCAACAATGTCCCCCAGCCCAAACACATTAAAACAGTATTGTTGGGTAGTTACTTTATCTAGGTAAGATATTTTTTAATTTTTGAGAGTGATAGGCATTCCATTAAAACAAACAAAAAAAATTGTTATACTAAAGCAATACTCATTAGCAATGAGTTCACTTCCAATGAAAAATGTTGCATTCCCTGCATCCACCACTTACTAAGTAAAGTTGCTAAAGTGACTTCATTTTTTTTTTTTTTTCCACAGAAAATAAAGGAAGACTAAAGAGGTTCTTGCCTATCATTCCTTCTACTGGTTCTACACATGTGCCCATACATGCACATTACACTGTCATTGCAATGCAGAGCTGATTTTTTTTGGTCTTCAGTTTGCTGTCAAGCTAGTGTCAGACATGATCACAAACTGTTATCACATTAGAATCCTTATGACAGAAATTGGATGAACATTTCTTGTAACTTTAGGTCATCTTTTCCAGAGAAAATAAGTTCATATTGGTTAGAAACATTATCACATCTGAATTTTAAAGAGCAACAAAAGTTATTCTATAAAGGTCTAACTCCTAACCTGGAAGGCTTCATAGATGGCCTTGTTTCAAGCATACCAATACGTTTTAAGTAATAGATATCAAACCAAGTTATCAGAAAACAAATCTACAAAAGCACTGAACACAGCATTTAGTAGCTTCTATTTCTTGTAAGACATAATTAATATTAGTATTCAATCCCAAAATAACTCAGTTCTCCAAATTAGCAACACAAAAGGATTGTAAAAGACTGCCAAAAAATTACATGAGAGCTTGCCAGATCACTGGGTGGAACTGCTTTAAAATGAGGATTATAAAATACAGGAAAGGAGTTTCACCCCAATTAAAGATTTAACTGCAAAAATAGCCTCACCCATAAGTTCCTGCATCTTATATTTTATTTTGCTATACCTTTGGATTGTCAATGATTGGCGTTATGATAAGATCAGATTCAGTGTAAATGAGCTCTTTCAATGTTGACTCCATATCCTGCTGACTTGAGCACATACTTTTAGCCTAGAACAAGAACAAAGATTTTTTTAAAAACTGTTTTGCACAAAAAACGAAGTTTACATTTATGGCCAAAATATTTCATTTCAACATTATACCACACAGTTTGGCCATGTAAGCAACATATTCTAAATTACTTTTGATTTATGTAGTAGCAGATAGGGCCAACTAAAAATTATGATAAAGAAACATGTTGGAAGAAAAAGCACCAGGTCCAAAAAGTGGACTGAGAAGAAAGAAGATAGCAGTATCCCTTTTATATACTAGAAAAAAAAGGAGACTAAGCATCTTTCTTAACTGTTACATCTGAAATTCTGCAAATTATTTTTTCCAAATAACTTGCACACTGTAGGAACTGCTTTCCTGTTACAATTATGGAAGAATGGAGAAGAAAGTTGACTTTGTCACAGACTCCAGGATAAAATTCTAACTATAAAGATACTACCATCCCTTAATATTATCTTTCTACTCACCTTTTTCAAACATGAGTCTCTTTGTGGAGAATTTTGGATTGGGGCAGTAGTAGCATCACTTACTTCTACTGCAGTGCTTGTTCTAGGTGTGGGACGAGAACTTAAACACAAGAAAGAAAAAAACAAAAAAAAACCCACAACACTACAGATTAAGTTTCACTGCAAACTACTTTCTTGTTGCTCTTTTGAAACTTTAATGCCATACAGTAAACATTCAAAGCTGACAAACATAAATAATGCTATGCCTGATCCATCAACTAAACCTGAACTTCCTGTCTTTAAATATGTCCTGACAAGATTAGGATTTGTTTGTCAGTAGAAAGGACTGTGTGTTTTCTTTTTTTTTTTTTTTTTTATTTATTGTTGTTAAATGAATGTAATTTGATTATTTTCTCACCTATAGTTGCTCTCCAAAATGGATATTAGAACATGATTATCTTAACTCCTAATAACAAACAACATACAAAGAGAATTAACTTGACAAAAAATTGCCATTTGTTTTATGTTATTCTCTTCTGACTGACAACTCTTGGCTAGGTAATAAGAATTAAAAACGGCCTAATTCTCATGTATGAATGTGAACTGAGTTCATTTTCTTATTAGCAGAGGGAATTTTTAAAAAGAAAAACTGGAAAATAAAGACAGGAAAGACCAGAACACTGCAAGTCTGTATTTTTCATAAAGTTGCTAGTGAACTTACTTTTGTAGTATACATCAAAGCGTTTAAAATCAACTTCAGAATTATTAAAAATTGTCAGGCCAGAAATTGAATTTAATCAACAATTTCAGATGAATGTATTTTCTTGATTAGCAGAAAGTAATATACACTTTCAGTATCAAATCATTTTAGTTATTAGAATTTTAGTTATTAGAATTTTAGTTATTAGAAGAAGGAACTAGATTAAAAATACAAACACCAAACAAAATTAAAGATACTCATGAAAATCAGTGATCATATGACTAACATAGTTGTTCTCATGCTTATCCTTATTTTGATGAAAAGGTATAAATAGATATAGATAAATCTTTTATATATTTTCAATAGGCACTTAAATTTAAGGGCACAATGAAGGAATGCCAAAATATTATCTAGTAGCTAGATAAAACTACATAAAACTACATAAAAATGTCCTAATTCTTACGGTAAAAAAATATATCAGGATCTGCTTGGAAGCTTAAGCAGTCTTATTTCCTAAACCAAAAAAAGTATGATTTCTTGCAAGGAGGCTGAACAAGTTCCCACATGCTTCAAAACATATAGATTTGTTAAATAAATTTTTTTCAAAAGCTAATTTGCTTTTGTATGTGTTTGAAATACAGAAAATCTTTCCTACTTTTCCAGTTTTCAGCTGGTTTCTCAGTTTAAAACAAGACAAGTGATCATTGAACTGAACTAGTTGAAATTAATAAGATCTATTCCCTTTGCACATGTAGAAGCAGCTAATGCTGTTAAAAGCTTATTAATCACTCCAGCAACTAAGTAAATTCTGGTGCCAAGTCAGCAGCTTACTTCCACTTCAATGTTTTAAAACTTCAGTAGGTAACACATCTTGATTTAAGAAGTTAAATTGTTGAGACAAAGAGAATTTCAGAACATAATTTTTTAAAAAATTTTATTACATTTCAAATTTCATATTAAGACAAACATACTTAAATAAAGTATGTTGTTAAAAACATATACTTTTTTTCTACACTTGTTCCTGACATAATTTGGATTACCTGTTGTTATACTAAGTGTTTGTGATGCCATTGTAGCCTTTCTTTTCAGCAGATTGCTAAAGCAGATAGCAAATGCTATTTTAAATTAATAATAGTATGGGTTTAGCTGTGATAATAGAAGTTATAAGTGAGATGAGAAGTAATACTTTATTAAAATCAACTGAAATAAATGGAAAAGTAGACACACTATTATGTACAACAGCCCTATTTGAGGTTATGCAAGAAGCTTAAAAGAGTATTTCATTTCAAACTGGAATATTTCTGCTTGAACGACAATAAGAATAGTATCTATTTTACTAGATAGTCTTCTTGGTTTGAAAGCTAGCACGAAGTTTTATAATCAGGTCTCAACTAAAACAAATCACTGTTAAGCCAATCACTTGTTTATTTTATACCTACGTAGTACTTTGTAGATTATTACCAATAGCTTGTGAGGAAAAGCTGCGGGCAGAATTTGTTAGTGGATTTTAAGCTGAATGCTTATTCTCATGTATTTAAAGTAAGCATATTCAAAGCATAGTCTCTCTAGATATAAAGTAAGTAGAAAAGGAAATTCTAAATAAAATTCTTCTGTTCAGACAGACAGCTAAGAAATCAAAAGTCTATTTCCAAAAACCAGTGTAATAAAGCCATAAAAGCATTGCTGTATCTATAGACACTGCTTTCACAGCTCTTCAAAGGGGTCTTAATATTAATTAAACTAGTGATAGAAAATTCAAAAGGAGACACACTAACAAAATTTTACAAATAGAGTAATAAAACGTCTGAAGAGATGGGGGGAAAAAAAAAAAACAACCTGCCTCTTCAGACAGATTCAAAAAAAAACTAACACAAAAACCATCCAGGGTTTCAAGCATTTTCTAATTGTTCTTTAGGTTGTCATACCTGAGAAGAAACATGGATTCATTTGATTCACCATCAACTGAACTTCTGGGGCGCAATTCAGTCTGAGTTTCTACTGAAAAGAGAACGTGAACTTGCATTCAGAAGTTAAAAACAAATAAAGCATAGGGAATAAGCATGTTGGTAAAACTGACAAAATTCATAGGACACAAACCAGTTCAAAATAATGTTATGAACTATATTACCTCTTTTGAAAGAATTTCTTGGTAGCTTATTATCTACTCTTGAGGATGACAGGTTATCTAGATTTTTATGAGTATCCACTGGCTCTTTGGCACTCCAAAACACTGATGAGACTGTGTCTTCACTGCTGTTTAATAATAGATATTAATTACACAGATTATTTTTTTTAAGAGGGGTCATATCCATAATTCGTTGCAATTATTAGCATAAAATGTATCTGTCATTCTCTAGAACAGCATACTATTATGTGTTACGCATACTTTTTATATTAGTAATGGCAATGATGAAAAATACGTTTACAGCAAATTACTTGGAGAATATTAAAAATTCTTTAGCTCCCTCAGTAGAACATGCATGAAAGAAATTGTAAAAATTAAATTATTACCCCATTATACCAGAGCTATAAAGAAATATTCAAGGCTTTAGAGACCATGCAATCTTCACAGGAAAAAGTCACAACAAACCTACCCCTAAATAATGAAGTCTGTAGCCTAGATTAAGAACAATAAAAACTAACATTTTTTTTTTGTGTAATGTATTACATGTCACATTTAATTGCAAGTGTATTGATTTTGGTTGTTTGGGTTTTTTTAATATACCCCTCTATTATTCAAACGGAACTGGGTCTTACAACCTTCCAGAAGGCTCTCCAGGACATCAAGTATTAATCAAACCCACATTGTGAAAAAAATAGGTACATGGGCCTCACAGTTGGAAAAGAAAATGTATTGACTGGGCTTCTTTTGCATGTCAAGCCAATGCCAATGTCCTACGTTTGTCATATTTGTCAATTGGTGCATACTTCAGCAGGTATTTCAGAGACATTAGAAAACCCTCAAAAGTAAGGTCAAATAACCCAATATTTTGTAGGAGATTAAGATTCTCCTGATTCTCTGAAAATTCCTCAAAGATGAGCACTGTGGTGGAGGCTGACATAAGTCTTGATAAAACCTTGAATAAATTCTTACTTTGTGGCAGAAACATTAAATCTGGATTTCTTATCTGCCTTGGAGGTGAAAGCAGTAATAAAATTAAAAGACAAAGACCTGTATCTCAAACTAGAATAAATGTTAATAACAAAAATACTGCAGCACTTGTGTCAGAAATAGGTATTAAACAACACAAGAGAGTTTTAAAATAGAACACATTCAGCATTTGAAAAGAAAACTATTTTCACCTTAGTTCCCTAGATTGGAACCTAAATAATCTTTCAAATATTTAGCACAAAAGAACATAAAAATCAGCACTTAATATCCTAATTCAAAATTAAAAACAAAACCCAGCAAGGTAACAGGAGTTTTGAAGAAGCCTACCTGTTTAATACATAGAACCTATTTTCAAAAAAAGATTTGTGTTTTTCTGCATATATAGCAGTGCAGAGTATTACAAATTTAGGAAAAAAACATTAGATTAATCCTTTGTGTCATAAACAAAGAATATGGGTCAGCTGCATTTGCAAGGATATAAGGCTGAACCACACATCTAAGATACTGTACTGGTAGGCTTTGTGATGCTTTAAGCCTAAGGCATAAAAACAAACAAAAATCACTAAAGATAAAATTGACCCATATTTATAAGATTCTACAAAAAGCTTTCAAAAAAATTGTAAGTCAAATTAATGTGCATCATTGATATATAAACAAATAAATAAAAATGAGAACAGTTAGTTCAGAAGTAAATTTTAACACATTCTATAGCCAGGAAGATGTCTGTTGAAATCGAACAGATAGTGTAATAAACTAATAGGATAATACAATTCTCAAGCACCCCAAACTGTCCACTGAATAGTGTAAAACTCCATTCATCAATTAGATAACAACATGAAAATCCCAAGCAAAGGTCAAAAAGAAGACAATTTACAGAAAACTGTATTTTTTTTTTTCCTTAGATTTACTATAAATGAAGTCTCCTTGAACATTCAGTACCTTGAGCTTGTGCCTTGGCTGTCTACAGAATCACCACCACAATGGCTAAGGGATCCTTTCCAGAATGGATGCTGCAATAGGTCTGTCCAATTCAGCCTTTTGAAAAGCAACAAACAAACCAAAAAAGCAGTGGCAAAGTACAGCTCCACAGAGACTAGTACTAGAAAACCAGACTAGGTTTTGAACCTAGTGATGCTATAGAGCAATTAATCCTGTTGTTTGCTTTTATTTGGTCAACAAGTAAGTTTTCTTACAGGACAAACCTTTCACCTCAAATCAGAACAGATAATTCATGCAAGACAGAGGTATGAGACTAAAAATGAAGGAAACTGCATAGCCAGTCCCAACATGTAAATTATCTGAACTATGCTATAAATTATAATCTTATGTTATTTAACAATATAACTATTTCAGCTGTAAATCAAAGCTTCATAAAATAGATGTGCCCACTGTTATGGAAAAACAAACCCATCCAATTTTAAAACTTCCCATAATTTCTGTTACAAAGTTACCTATTTAGCACCAGCTACAAAAATACAAAGATATATTTAATCAAAACATCAATTCTGTATATTTTCATATAACAAAAAGCACAATTTACTCTTTTTTGAGTGATGAAATTATTTTTGCATTCTTTGTCATCTACAAAACACTTTACATACACTACCATAGCAACTATTTTCTCCAGAGATGAAAAAAGACAATGTAAACAACTGTCATGAATTAGACAATTTACCTTTTCTGAGGATCCTTTTGAAGCAAGCCATCAAGCAAATTAATGAACTCAGCAGAAGGTTTGTGAAAAGCAGAACCTGTAAACAAAAGCATTTTAGAAGATAAGTATTGGGCAGCAAAAACAACCGTCACACAATGTAGATCAAATAGTTATCTATAGATCAAGCTAAAAAGCTTTCTTTAATAGCAATTCCACCTGAAAAAAATCTGAACGTATGAAGCATCTTAAATATACACTCTGCATTTCAAAGGATCCTCAAAAAAAAAAAAAAGACAAAAAACCCCCCCCGAACCAAACACACCACAATGATTGGTAACCAATCTAATTAAAATTGGTTTTATGTTAAAAACAGCACCCTCCAATTATCATATAGCTATTAGCAAGAAATAAAGTGGAATTTAAAGCTGCTTATATTGGAATTAAATTTCCTCCAACCATGATAACTTTAAGAGGACCATTACACAAAGGAGGTTTCCTAAATTCTTAACTGAGAAAGACTTGACTTCTGAGAGTTCAGAACTATGAAATGCACTTTACTCACTTTGACAGCAAAATCCCTTTTAGAATTGAAACAAATAACAAGAGTTTTAGTTCTACAGGTCACCATTTTCACTACATTACTAAGAACTGAAGAAAGTCACTAATATTTAACAGTCTCCATGAATACTATTGATGCCCAGAATGACTGAGATTAAAAATTCCATCCCAGAAGGTAGATTTGCTTTTAATTCTTAACACTAACTGATATGCCTCGCTGTCAAAAGGGAAATAAGCATTCATTATTAACAGGGGAAAAGTTCTTATCAGAGGAAGGTAACGATAACATTCACTTCCGACAGCTGATTCCTGCAATCAGCCTCAGAAGAAATAGGGCAAAACAAAAAACTTGAACTTTCTAAGTATTACTCTGATTTGATTGATAAACAATAACAGAATATTACCCTCTGGTCTAGGTGGCAATGGATCTTCATATAAAATCTTTTCAATTAATTCAGATAAGCTGTCTGAGAAGAATGGTGGTCTTCCTACAAACAAACAGAAGTGTATTTCATAGATTAGGCAAACTTCAAAATGGCTGTCCGGTGCAATGATATACAATGAGCTCAGTTTCTTAAGGAAACGTCCAAAGAAATAAACACCCTCAGCCTGAATTTTATTTATCAAGTTCTCTCTCAATTTAAATACAAAATCTAGGATTAAATTCTTCTATGATAAACAGCAAAAGAGACCATGGACAGCAGAGGCACCAAAGATGGCTTGATGGAGGTCACCATGATAGCCCTGTATGAATCGGCAATGAAACAACAGGAAAAGGTCTAGGCAGAAATCTCAGTATCTATGTAACTATGTTGATCCAACAGATCAGCATATTGTTTAAGACATCAGAAGGTTGCTCTGTAATTCTCTTTTGCGGTAAAATTTTCCTTCCAGCTGCAGCCAACGCTAACAGGTACTTTATCTGCAGGAAACCCAATGACTCTAGTTTTATACTAGTGAAACAGTTTTTCTCTTTCAAAGAGAAGAGTTTAATACTGAGGAGATGAAAAACATTACACTGCCAGAATTCGAGGACTGCTATAATTTTAAATCATAGTGTTTAAACAATACGTGTTGGTTAGTATCATAATATTTAGATCACAGTCAAAATGACAACAGTACTACTTCACTTGATTATTTAATAAAGTACAGTTAGTATGTTCTTCAAGAAATCTTTAAAACCTGTCTTAAGTTTTTCTAGGTCTTAACTTCCCTAGAAAGTTAACAAGAATTCACCCTAAGGACCACGACCTATGTTTCCATTACCACAGATATTAGAACTTACAACCTGAGAACATTTCATGAAGTAAACATCCCAAGGACCACAGATCACTGGCTTTGGAGAAGTCCTCTCCCTTTATTGCTTCTGGTGCTGTGTATAATGGAGAGCCTACAAAATACAGTATGTGTAATACGCTTGGATTAGTCACTCAGCATTTATCCTGTCCAACATTTCAACCTTTGTCTCCACAATTCAGTGTTAGAGATTATATTCACTTAGTATAAGAACAGAGACAACAAATGTAAGTAGTTTCAAAGGAACTTCTCTCTTACACTTTTACTGAAGTATGTAGGGTTATATATGCCATTTTATTGTTTATTTCACTTCTGTTAACCAAGCTGGCTTGTGCTACACTTTTCCACCACAGTGATTAATGCAAAGAAAGTTTTGATATGCCTTGACAGCTTCCAGAGCAAACTGAGCAGAATGGTGAATGCAAATAATTCTCACGTGAGTAACAGAAGTAATTATGTTACATCAGGTTTGGTTTGTGTTGGTGTTTTTCTGTTTGCTTGCTTTTAAAAGGCTATCCCAAGACATAAACCTTCATGGAATTAGAAAACTCTGCTACAAAAACAAGGTAGCTAGCCAGCTTGATCACTGATCTAAACTAGTTACAGCTATTTTCATGCTAACACACTAAGAAAATATCACATATCAAATCAGAGCAGCTTATTCACGAACCTCTTATGCCTTGATACAGAAAAAGAAATATACAGTTGCTATTTCTACAGTAGTTCCTATCTAAACACTAAGTCAGTTCTCAAAAATCTCTAAAAAAATTACACAAACTCAGCAAAAGTGTCAATTCCATAGTCCTTTAAAAAGTTTATTTTTGGATTCATTTGTTCTTGTGTTTTATTTTTTTAAGTGACAAAAGGTCATTAACCATACACATCAAAACAGCTATTCTGAAAGGCAACAGGAAGGAGATTAGATTTGTATTTCTTCCTGAATAAAGATCTGTTCTTGGTCTTTGTATTTCCAGTGTGGACTTTCAGAAGGAGACAGCAAAGTATTAAGAAAGCTCTCTTTCTTCTCATAAAATATTGCCAGGAATTCCATTGATCCCAAATAACAGTAACTGCTATGACAAATAGAGGTCTCTGAGATGCTCTGAGATGATGACTAATAAAAGATTTGGAAGATTAAAACCAAGTTTCTGAATTTTTCTTATTCGATGAAAAAATAACATAGTATTTGCAGTCTACTGCGTTGCACAGGTCTGCCTGTTGAAATAAAAGCACAGTAACTTGCTCATATGTTAAATGATCATTCTTGAGTAAAAGGTACTGAAACAATTTTATCTCAAACTAGTAATCACTTGGACCATTTGCATCAAAAAGGACAATGAAAGTACAGCAGTGCAGAGTCTCCTATGAAAGAAGCAGCAGTTCTGTGCAGCACTTACTGAATTTTGTGTATACTTTTAACATTAAATAAATGGAATTTAGTCCTAGACCTCACAGAGAGCATCTGCAGCATAGACTTTTAAAATGCTCAAATAATTCCATAGCCAAATGTTTTGAGACAAAACAGGATTAATTTTAAAATCACTTCTTTTCTTTATCATACTTCCAACATCAGTTATTTCTTCATTCTCCAATTCCTACTTTGTAACTGGAGCACAAAAAGTTGTAAATATGTGATTCTTTTTGCTACTTCCTTTAATTTTATTTTTTTTTAAATACACTGTCCTATATCAACTAAGTACCAGAAATACAATTTCATTGACTAGGGAAGCCAGTTCCAATTTGAACTCTGAATTTGCAAAGTTTTAGTAATCTTCTCATTCTTCTAATTCTACTACTTGTTCTTAGTTGACGTTACGTGAAATGCATCAAGAACAAAAAGTATGTCACAGGGTTTTTCTTCCAACCATAGTTTTCCTCAAATAGCAATTAATAAGTAAGCCTCCTCAGCAAATCCAAACCAAGAATTAATGTTCCTAATTAATTAGCTGCCTTGAAACATTTCAAATCTTATTTGTATACTCAATTTGGGGGTTTTTGGTTGTCTTGTTTATTTTTGTTTTTTTAAATTCTTGAAATCTTGCTTTACTTTTTTTCTACAAAGAAGAAAATTCAAGAACAGTCTATAAAATAATGAAAACATGCTCAGAATAGACACTTTGTACATTAAACTATACTTTAGGGATTTGATGTAAAGCTGCAAAAAGATATTTAAAATAAGCCACCTACAGTTTATGTTGAAAGTTTGTTACACAAATATACACAGTCTATAATCACCTACACATGAGCTTTAATCCAAAAATACGCTGAAGTCTATTTACAAAAAGCAGGAAAGGTCAGGAATTGTTAACATGTCATACATTTTATAACAGACAGAAGTGTATTTTTTCCAGCTCTTAGTTAAACTGGCTTTGTGAATCTTAGAATTATTACCACATACTTGTAAATACAGTTTCTTTGCTTTCTACTCACTTGCAGGTGTTGTTCCCTCCGTAACTTAGAAACTCTCTGAACAACCTTCCTCAAGAGCTAGATTTTGATTTTGAGCTTACTTTAAAAATTCTCCATATGCAGGATATGTTATATCTGCTTACAGAAAATGTACAGATCAAGCTTGCCATTGCAAAGACACAGGCAAACGCATTAATCTTTACAAATGATAACACAACAGAATTAATTATTCAGTTTCTCTAGGAATTTAGTCAGCCCCAACAGAGCAATCCACAACTATTTTATTTCAAGGTCTTCTCTCCAAATTAGTTCAAACAAAGGCTTTTTCCAACTTTCATTCTGTCCCTTTGGTATAAGTTAATTTTGGCTAGTAAAAACATCCTACCTCGAAATCTATTTTTCAGGTATCTTTGCTGAGTGCTTTCACTGACATCTCCTTCTTCAGATCCAACTAAAGCAAAAAATTCTTCCAAGTTCTCACCATCCACTTTAGCCAAGCAAAAATTACTGAATTTCAAAGTGCCAGGCCCTTCCAGCAGAATCTAGAAGAATAAACATAACGCAACATACAAGTATCATATACTAAAAATTATGACTGCTGAAATTTCCAACACAAAGTATAAATTTTTTTTTTTAAATCACAATCTCAAACCATTTAAGTACACAGAGATGATCACTATAAAGGAAAAACTTTTCAGTGTTTTTGGCTAAGTTAACACCAACACTGTCTTTTTTCTTATAAACAAAAAATTACAGAATCCTACAATAGAACTCTCAAGAGGTTTCAAGTGTACTTCTGTTTAATCATTATTAAATCACAATTAATAACAATGTTACTATAGAAAACAAAGTAAAAGTAGAGTAGAATGATATAGGAAAATGAAAGTGTAGTAAACAGAAACATTGTTTCATTGGGGGGGGAAGGGAAGTGAATCTTTCTAATTTTATTTAGCAGAAAATGCCAAAGATTTTGTCCCATGATGATGAGAGTTTTCTCTATGCAGTCACTGTTTATTCTTATAATTAAAAGCTTCATAATCCCAAATGATGTTGTTTGGAGAAATAGCCCGTTCAGTCAGATACGGGAGCAGGGAAGCAAAAAAAAAAAAAAAAAAAGCAGTCTTAATTTAGCACTCTATATTTTGTGTTCAAAGGAGAACTTTACAGCAACATTCTTTGGAAGAATACAGACACATCTCCATTATGCTTTATTCATATATTTTTTTAGTGCTTTTGGACCCACAAATGACAGAGACTGAGTATAATTGTGCAAGATTTTACAAAAAATTCAGAAAAGTGCAACTTGATCACTTACAGATCAAGTTCAAAAACAATTACTGCTAAGCAAGAGTTTCTGGTTATACTGATATTCTGGTTACTACATAAATTAAAAACAAACAGGGACTTTGAAAAAACTATACATAAATTCCACACACACACAAAATCAGAAACTACAAAAAGATTTGTATTTTTATGCAAGAGTAAGATGATAATTTAAATGGCATTTGGAAACAACAGAGAAGGTCATTAACAAAAAAAGTTTAGTTAACTTTACTCCCTCGTTAGGATTTTCTGTGATTTCAAAATATTCAGCAGCATGATAGAATCGGTATAACAACGAAGTTGTACGTCCAAGGACAGAGAACCAAAATCCTTCATTAATTCAAACCAGTACACCAAATAAAAAAGAATCTATCACATTGTATCAAACATACAACAGGGAAAGAAATCAATTAGATCATAAAATATTCAAGCTACAGACTTGTCTCTCATTGTCTTCACATATAATATAAAGCTCAACTGGCCTCTAACCTGAGGAAAGCCTCTTACAAACAGTAGAGCAGAAATAATGAATTAAATGTTGATGGCATACAAAGTAACATGCAGTGTCCCCTCCTCACCTTTCCAGGCGTCAGTTCACAAAAGATAATTCCAAGCTTATGAATATGGTATAAACCAGTAATCAAATCAACACCAAATTCTCTCACTACATCTTCAGGTAGATGACCATCTTGAGCAATAACAGATTCTAGAGAACCACCTGAAATATGTTTACACATAGTCAGCAACTGCATAATAATAATTCCCAAGGACATTATACAAGCTTCTTCAAAAGATGTCAGGCAAAAATCCTTATCAACAGCTATTAAAAATATTTATTCAGATTACGTAATAGTTACAAAATCTAATAGGTACTGAAAAAATAATCTCTTTCCAATAGTAGGACAAAAATCTTAATTTTGACTATGATTAAATTGGGTACATTACTTCAAAGTTTCTTTAATATTGATTTATTTTATAAAGGAAACAGAATGGAAAAAAGAAACCCAGAAACCATGTCATTTCACAATGTAATAGTACCCAATGGATTTAT